GTAATGACTCTCTCAATCAACTTTCCTCTTTACTAGCCATTGATAGGTCTATCAATTCTGATTCTTTAGTTGAGTCGGGATCATTTACTTCTTAGACTTCGAAGACACAACTCTTCTAGCAATGTTTAAAACAGGCACACAGGATGTCTTGGAGTCCTCTATAGGGTATTCTCGTCCGCACCAATATACCCTACCAATACAGCAAGAACCGTTGATAATTTATATCAAGGTCTACTGTTCTCTTAAGGTGTCTCATGACCCCTTTCAATAGCATTTCAATTCTCCATACTAGGACTATCAGTAAGCCTGCCAAGTACCCCCACTAAATCTTGTCTCATGTTTATCAGCTGCCTCTCGCAGACTGTCGATGCTAGTATATTCTCACTTTCTTACACTGTCATAGGTGTTCTTAAAAATTTACACTAGCATCATCAAACATGTGTGCAGGTGTACAACTTGTATTTTCTTAGTTATCAGGATTTCTAAGCATAATACTTGTTTCATCAAGATCCTTCACATTCCAAAATTCTCAAACATGGTTTTTCATACTATTGATATCATGAGTCTTTGTACCAAAGATCATCATGTCATTCATAGTGCAAATGTCATTCTCAAATTTGTACTAATTGCACTTGTCACTTTCATTTTAAAACCAAGAGAGAGAACCAGATTATACATGCCACAGTCTTTAGAGTCTGTTTCAAATCATAACATGATTTGTCTAACCATAGGCTCCATAAGCACGTTCAGGAATAACAACCCTTTAGGTTGTTCCATGTAGATTTCTTTATCTAAACCACCATTCACATAAACCGTTTTTAACAATCCATCTGACGCACAACACTAGCAATCAGAACATATATGCATGTTATTCTAGATGGTGTGAATAAATATAAAAGAAATCCACAATTTTTCCTTCTTCGCCTAAAGTTTTAGCTAGTAGGCGATCCTTATACTCATAAACTAAACTATCAGATTTTAGTTTTTCTTTTAAGAATCCATTTATTACCTTGGCTTCATTGCCAAGAGGTAATTCTTAAAGATTCCAAATCTTGTTCGGTTCCACCGATATATTACCCAAGGCTTTATAACAAAGAGGCAACTCTACAAGATTCTAAGTCTTACTAGACTCCACAAATTCCATTTCGTTAATAATGGATTCTACCACGAATTTGGAAGTTCAAACTTTAAGCAGGCTTGTGGGATCTTTCTTAGGGTGTAATTAACAAACTCATAACTAAAATCCTTTATCGATTTATGGTTCGTTTGCTTCTTCTGAGTTCATACTCAGGGTACCATTCTATTTGGTATGGATCTGGTTCGGCTTGCTGCTCTCATTCTTGAAACTTTAATGTTTCAGAGCAATCTAAGTGGTTCGTGTAGTACTGATAATAGTACTTCTTACAATATCGTCACTATGGGCAATTGACTCATTCTATTCCCATATATTCTTCATATACACTCATGTAAACAAAATTACTCTATTCCATAATATGCATTCAAATTTATGCTCTAATCATTGAGAAAAGCACATCTCAATGTCAACATAATCATGCATCAATACTCAATCTCTCTAGCATTCTCAAGATATCTCAGTTGCATGCATAATGATATATGAAATAGATTCTACTTTTATCATTCATCAATGACTCGTGAGGAAGGTTTCAACTCTTACCTCATTTCGGAGAAGACATTTCATTCTTTGCTATCGTGTTCAACGTCTAATCGGTTCCAATCCGGCCTGGCTTGGAACTTTGTCACTGCCGAACGGGACTCTTCCTTCCGAGTTGGCAATCTAAAAGTACTCAATTTTGTAGTAGGCTCGCAGCTCCTTAATCCCGCCGCTCCAAGCAGATCTTTATTTTTAGGGCTAATACCACTACAACACCCGAACTATCGACAAAATGCCACTTGTGTCCTATTTTATTCAATATTCCATTGATGTCCTCAACTATGATACTTTGTGTCATTTGTATCCTATAATTTTTGTTGACCGTTAAAGATAACGGTTGACCAAACGATGGTCAACGCCAAGTTGACTTTTGTTGACGTGGCAAAAAATGTGACTGCCACATAGATGCCACGTCACTGACCTCAGATTTTTTAATTCAAATTAAATAAAAATTGAGTTAAAATAAAAAAAATCATTGCATCTGTTCCCCAAAATTTTCCCGGATCGAGAAATCCCTTCCACCTAAAAAATCTTCGTTTGTGGTTACAAATCTGTTCCCCAAAGTTCCGTTTCTCTCATCCCTCTCCTTATTCTATTATCCACACTTGCCTTCACCATCTCCACCCAGCAATCAGACAGATTCATCTTCCATGGGTTCAGCAATGGAACCAGCAACCAGCAACAGTTGCTCAGGCTCGACGGAGCTGGAGAGATTCTACCCAACGGACTTCTCCGGCTCACCAACGCCTCCGCCCTTCAGATTGGCCACGCTTTCTTCCCTCGCCCTCTCAAATTCATCCGCGGAAAATCATCTCTATCCTTCTCCACCAACTTCGTCTTCGCCATGGTCCCGCAATCCCCAAATCTCAACTGCCATGGCCTGGCTTTTTACTCTCACCGGCTGTGGATTTCTCACACGTCGTCGCCAACCAGCACTCGAATAAACCAGTTGGCTCCCCTAATACTCCTCCCTTGAATCGGATCTCTCCGATCTGTAATTTTGATGTAGTTGAGGATGAGATAAGAGGAAGAAGTTGGGAGCCTGCAAGGAGATTTGGTTCAGATTGAGGTTTTGGAGAGGGAGAGCGGCGGCAAGCCATCCGGGGAGAGGGAGTTGGGGTTTCATCGAGGAAGAGAACCGGAGTTATGGATGATTACTCTTACGCGACGCAACAATTTCCTCGGATTCGGTGGCGGAGAGGGAAAGGCTCGGAGAGAAATTGAGGATGAAAGATCCAGACGAGAGAGAGATAAGAGATAGATGTGAAACCAAAGGGATTTTTCCTTTCTTATTTTTTTTTTATTTTCAAATTTAATTTTAAAAAACAAAATTTTGTGCCCAAAAGCCACGTTGACAGACACATCAGCAGTGACTTGGCAATCTGTTAAATATTAACGGTCAACATCAGTCAACACAAACGGAAAAATAATTCGGGACACAAATGAAATATTGAATAAAATAGGACACAAGTGGCATTTTGTCGATAGTTCGGGTGTTGTAGTGGTACTGGTATTAGCCCTTATTTTTATAGCATATGAGATGAGTGGTTTCGTGGGACACCAAGATCTTGGAAACCTGCGAACCCAGGAGGCGAACCATAGTCATAATATTCTCTCGTTCTTCGATACTGTTCCCCATTTGAGCTAATTATGAGATGCTTAGCACCTGGTATCCCATTCAAACCTTTTGGGGGTTGATAAATCACTTTAGTTGAATCGACAACCAATCCAAAATGAGAACTATGATCGACCCACAACTTCGCGACCGCTGTCTTCCCATTATTTCTTGTACGCCTCAGCCTTGTCCGGCTTCTTCATGAACATCCCGGGAAACATGGTTAAAGATCGGCGGGCACCGCTTCCCTTCCCTTCAAAATAATCGCGCCTCTTCTAATTTCCGAGACAGAGCGGCCAGGACGAAGTTGCTCGATCCACCGGAGGACGGAAACCAAGAACGGATTCTTATCGGCTTCCGAAATTCGAGACATCAGATTGTCCGAGGGCTTCTCCTTCTGCTCAACGATGGCGTCACCTTACTATTGAAAACAATCTCGGTGCCAACGACCGCCGGCAAGCACCACGGTAAGGCAATGGGCGATGGAAATCGCTCAAGCCAGAATCGGTATCCTATCGGTACATAACGAGAGCAACCGAACGTCTTAAAATTATTAGAAACCGAATAGAAAATTTAGGGTTACCGATCTGGCTGAGTCGCGGACTAGGTGGCTCTCTTTAAGACGTCCGCGGCACTGTCTCGTTATTCGCACAACAGACTATCAGCCGGTCGCCTCCAGGATAAAATAACCACTCTTTTGATTTGCTCAGCGGTTTTGTGCGGAAAACCGGATCTCTTTGAATCTCACTCTCTAGTGTTTCTGCTCTCTGAGGTGTGTTTAGAGGGTCTGGGGCGTCTCCTATTTATAGGAGCAGAAAACCCATAATATTCCCTCTTTCTATGGGAATAAGTCACATTTTAATTAGGTAGATAATTACTCCCATAATTAAAATATAATCTATTAAGATAATTATTCCTAATTATCTCCATAATATTCATTTTATTAATTATCTATCTTAATTTCGTATTATGAGAAAAATACTGGATAATTAATTTGAAATTTCATTATAGCTTTTCAAAACTATTCATTCCAACAGAAACAACCGGAGCCACCTCCGACCAACCTTCGTCGGACCAAAATATATCGTCTCTTCGAAAACCAAAGCATTGAATAGGCCACATGTCGAAAGGGAAACCGGCGACAAAGTCATGAGAAATATCTTCCGTCTCCAAAATCTTCAAGCCGGGTCCACGCCAATAACCACATTTCCGGATCATCCAGATCTGCAAGACGAAACAAGGACGTAGACAAAGGACATGATAAAGGGGAGACAAACTGAATTCAAACGAATCTTGCCTCCTTTGCTATTTAGCACGAAACATCTCTAGATCATGAACATCAAACCAAAAGAACAAAAGCTCAACCCACAAAGAAAAAGGAAACATCTGCAAAGGGAAATGAAAAATGTCATTAAATGGCTGGAAAAATCGAAGTAAAGAAAGGATGAACCAAAGTTGGTCCTAATTACTAAACTCTAAACCACTTAATCGACTCATCTAGTAAATTAATCTGACAACTTTGACGTCGACCAACTCACTTCTCCCAACATTACCCAGATCACCAAGTTTTGTCATATTTCTGTAAACTATTGTTTTTGAGGTGTTGTCTACAAAATACTATAAGACAATGTCAAAAAACAGCATTTGCCACGTCAGCCTCTCCTGAAACGGCCGCACAATTCGGAGGGGCTTTTGTGTAAATCCCGAATCTATCTCTTCATCGCTCTCGGTCTTCCAATCTCTTACCAGGAAGCGAACCTCTCCCACGCCACCGCCGTCGCTCACTGCCGAGGATCTGCCATGTCTTCCACAACTCTTCTCTTCTCTCTTTCTGTCTTCCAGCCCGGACATATCACCGCTAATCTTGCAATTCTTCTCCCCCAAGCGTTGCCCTCGAAAGTCCCGTTTCAAACCTCGCCGTCGAGCAAGCAAACCATTGTTCTCGCTCATACCCCTTCTCACTCTTCGATCGGCTGTCTCCCGCACTCCCGGAAAGCTCACGGCAGCCCTTGCCACCGGAGGTACCGCTATCCACGCCTGACCCTCAACACCGCTCCCAAAGTAATTAAATCTCACTCCCTTTCTAATCCGATTCGCAGATTTCTATGTTCGTTTCAAAGGGAGTAGCAAACCATCAAGAAACTGTGGGTCGGGGTTTGATGGGGAAGAAGAAGCGGGTTCCGTAATTCCCACCAAGCCTCATTCTCCCCTTCAAATTTTGGTAACTCTTACGTCTACTATACCAAAGCTTACTTAATTGTTTGTTTTCCCACAATTTCACTACTCTGTTCCAATTGATACATGAGTGTATAAATAACCCACTGAAGTTTGTGCTACTTGTGCTCCAAAGGTTCTGTCAATACTATCAAATCGATAGTCAAATTGAAGAGGAGAGTTTACATAGTTTTGGAGTTCAATTAGTTTTGGACTTTTCATCACTCTAAAGACAATTTGAAGTTGAAAATAGCATGGATTTTTGTGTTTATGATAGCAGCAGCTTAGTGCCAGTGTGTTTATCATGTCATCCGCTTCAATTTATCTGTGTTATTTACACCAACAGCTCAAGTTTGTGTCAGTTTAGGACTTTTTGTGGATTTCGACTTTAAGGAGGCAGGGAATTCTCCATATAACAAACCTCTGGCTTATTTTCTGATACATGGCAGGTTTCATCGCTTTACACGCACTCAAGAAAAAGGTTTTTACTCTAAGTTGGGGTGATTACTTAAACAGTCAGAAATTTTTGCAGGGGGTAAAATGCCATCTTTTTGACCTGCAATTGTTTTCCTCCTCTTCTTTCAATCCTTCTGGAAGCTATGTGTTCCTAATGTGCTAGGCAAATGGATTAGGTTCGTGAGTTGGGTTCTTGCTTTGGTGGATTCATGAGTTGCCTTTAAATAGATTTACGAGTTTATTGGTTGGTTTATACTTTAGATGGGTTAGTGAGTTTGCAGGTCATTGAACATCCATGAAAAAGAAGCCATAGCAGCTGCAACAGTTGCAGCAGCAACAGATTTGGAAGAGAAGGTAGGTGTGGATAGTTTTAGTTAATCTCTGCAAATTGTTAGTTTGAAATTTTGTAGTGCTGATGTGATTCTTTGCTTTGCTTATGGGAATTGGTTAGTCTTGGTGTTTTTGGTCTCAATTGAGCTTTTTAGCTTAAAGATAATTGACCACACTCATATTCAATTGTTTGCTTCTTTTCCTTCCCGATTTCTGTATTGTTTATTTCTTTGCTGAATATATGGCATTTCTCGATTGAAGTTTCACTTGCATTTTATTTTGACTTAGCTTCTTAGCTGGGAGGGAAGATGTGATATTGCATGACGTGAATAGAGAATTGAAGGGATAGACCTCAATAACTTTATTCATCTAATAGCAGCAGCTAAATCCACTATTGGTCTCAACATTAGAGAAGCAACTTGAAAACTTGGTCTTTTATTAAAGGATGAATAAAATAACCATTACAATTTAATCATACATTATATGTTTGCTGAGATGTGCATTTTGAAAGTTTCTATATATTATTGTATTCATTATGTAATTGGGACTTCGAGCTTGCTTGCCGTATCATATCATTGATTTTGATTGTATTTCATTATGTAATTGGAAGTTGGGACTACGAGTTTGCTTGCTGTATAATGTCATTGATTTTGATTGTATTTCATTATCAATAGAACAAAATAAAATTCACGTACTGGGTCTATAGCACAACGGCCAACGGGCCGGGCCCAATGCTAGTGGAGAATAAATTCATGTATTTAGTGGACGGGAGCCATTATATAAAATAATGAGAAGAGATATACATTCTACTCCATTATCAATTGAATAATTCCCTCTTTCGACGCTCATTATCAATTGAATAATTAATAAGCAAGATAGTGATCATAACCACCACCCACGCAAAATCACGAATTAGATCCCAAATTGATGATTTGATTTGCCATATTAAAGGGGAAAGGAATTGGATCTTTGATAAATTTTGCTTAGCCTTTTGAAGGAATATCTCTGAGACATGCAATAGCTTGTAAGTAATGTTGTCAAGACCGGACCGGTTGGTCCGACCGGTAAAGCCAGCAATTGACCAGCTTATTTAACCGCAACGGGTGAAGCAGGAAGTCACGAGCTGATCGGTTAATCGGACGAGCCGTTCCAATCGCTCTAACGGTTTAGCGGTCAGAATGATAACTGACAAGATTTTTTAGGGACAAGAAAAAACCATCAAATATGAGGGAAATATGAGGGAGTTGGGATTTGAACATAGCACCTGCAAGGGGCATGTGACAGGTTTGGCGACTACTCCAATTGGGCTGCTATTGATTTGTGTTATAGACCTAACAAGTCTTTCCATAAACCACACTGTCTAGTTTTGAAATAATCTCATTAAATAGTGTTCTTAACTTTAGAAAAATCACATATATTATGCTTATGTAATTTATATTTATGTAAAATGATAATATTTACTTGACATATATAATTACTTGTTACAAATATAATAGAATCAATATATAATTATAATACTAATGGATTCTACTTATAATATTTTTATTTATTAGACAACTGTTCGTTAACGGGGTTATAGCGGTTTAATATCGGTTAAACCAGTAAAGTGCGAACCGCTTACTATACCGGTTCATACATCGGTTCGGTACTGACAACATTGCTTGTAAGGCAAAAATTGTACCGTATTGACAAAAAAATCTCATATCGGAAGCTATCGGTAGATGGTATTTAGCGGTATGAAACAGTTGGACCATGATTATACCACAATTTAGCTAAAATATCTTACCGCTGACTTTTTCGATAAAACTTCTGATACGATTTTCAATCTCTGGTTCAAGCTAAATAAAGGAAAGACTGATTCTGTGTGTGTGCTTTTTTTTTTTTTTCAAACAACAGATTGTGTGTGCTAATGTTGACTTGATTATTGCGTCTTCATGTCTAGCTTATGTAGTGGGGGATCCATAATGTTTGGAGAGGTGTGTATATCAATAATAATAAAATAAAAAATTCATTAACAGAGTACACAATTTCGTTGTTTTTACAGCGAGAAAAAAAAAAAAGTTGTTCATTATGAGGACTTTTGAAATACATCTATCACTTATTGTTAAACTCAAATATTTTTTAATGCATACAACCAAAAATCATTGATAAATTGATCACTAATCTGATTTCGAATATAATTTTTCTATCAACTTCATAGTAAAAAAGTCATTTCACTGTTTATTATTACAACAAATGCATCAATTACAATTTCTGGAAGTGTGTCAGACATCCTAGTTTCAAATTTTATAATGACGAAACATAAAATTTATACCAAAATCTTGAAGTGATGTCGTACGTGTTCTGTCTATTGGTCTCTTAATTATTGAGTACTCCAATATAACTTATAGGACTTTGCTACAGTGACATGCATGTCACGGTGACATGCACTTTTCGGTCGACCTCATATAGGATCAGGTCGACCTAATCAGTTGTTTCAGTGTAAAAACAGTTTCATGGTGCCTACTTTGGAGATTCATATCTTACAATTGGCTAGATGGAAATTGGAGATTAAAGGCTTGTTTTGAAGCTGAAGTGTCCCTCTACACATTAAAGTACTTGGGAGCTCAATAGAAAGTCCAGAAGACCATTTTTGAACCTGACCAAAAGGCTATGCCAAAACTGGGAAACTGCCTGAAAATGGCTAAGTCTGGCAACGTGTTTGTCAAGCCTACTTTGGAGCTCAATTTGAGAAGCATGGATGCGAGTCAAGTCCAGAGGCCTCTACCACGTTAAATTAAGTATTTTTTTATACAAAGGCAAGGCATTCAATGAAATATTGAATATCTTTAAGGCTTCAAACAAAAGGCTCGAAGTTGCTACGAAGGCTGTTTTTCTGGCAGCTTGCTTGTGCTCGAAGTCTGCCAGAAAAACAGCCTTCGTAGCAACTTCGACCCTTTTGTTTGAAGCCTTAAAGATATCCAATCTTTCATCCAATTCCTTGAATTTGTATAAAAACATACCTAATTTAACGTGGTAGAGGCTCCTGGACTCGACTCGCATTCATGCTTCTCGAATTGAGCTCAAAAATAGGCTTCACAAACACGTTTCCAGACTTAGCCATTTCTAGGCAGTTTCTCAGTTTTGGCATAGCCTTTTGATGAGGTTCAAAAATGGTCTTCGGGACTTCCTATCGAGCTCTCAATCACTTCAATATGTAGAGGGACACTCCAGCTTCAAAACAAGTCATTAGTCTTTAATTTCCATCTAGCCAATTGTATGATATGAATATCCAAAGTAGGCACCATGAACTGTTTTTACACTGAAAGAGCATATTAGGTCGACCGGATCCTATATGAGGTCGACCGGATCCTAAATGAGGTCGACCGGATCCTATATGAGGTCGACCGAATTCTAACTGAGGTCGACCTAATCCTAACTGAGGTCGACCGGAAAGTGCAAGTCACCGTGACATGCATGTCACCGTAGGCACACCCTAACTTATATCATATCTGTCTTTTTTCCTAAGAATCAGAACAAATCCTAATTCTGCTCACATGTATAGAATTAGAACAATAATTCCTACTCAGTTACTGTGGATAATTAATTATTTTATATCCTTGACACATACGAGACTAATGGATTGATGGATAAGATCATGAATATAAGTGGCGTGTAAACATTGAACTGATATGTAAATTACTAAGAGGTTAAAATGTCATCATAAAAATTTTTAGATATCAAAATGTAAAGTTCCAATGATATTTAAAAAAAATTTAGGTACATATAAACTAAATTATAATTTACCAATAATCCATCAACCTTCCAATCTAATTAGCTTTTTATCTAATTTCAAATTGCATGCATTGTGGTTGTGGGTTTATTGTGAACAAAGACTTGGACAAAGTGATAAGAATTGTCAAAGACACATGATGTGGCCATGTGGGAGGTGGAGCAACTTTAGTGTTAAGTTAATTAATCGCGTAAGGAATAATAATAATATTATTATTATTATCATTATTAATATATACATGTACCTTTGTTGACAAATCAAACCAACCTTTACAGCTAGCATATCAATAATTAATTCCCATATGGAAGTGGAAACTTTTCCAGCAAAATAACAAATACAACGGAAATTCCCACGCATGGCACTCGAGGCTGACAATAATTAAGTATATCATTATAATCCTCATCCTATGTGCATTCTCCCTATAAATACCCTCTCTCGCTTGGGATAATCACAAATAAACTCGCTTGCAGATAAGCACAAAACGACAAAGACAATTAATACATATAGCACGATGTCGGACGACCCAGGGTCAGGGGTGTGGGTGTTCAAAAACGGCGTGGTCCGGCTGGTGGAGAACCCGGGGAGCGAGGCGGGGACGCTCCCGAGGAGGAAGGTGCTGGTGCACGCGCCGAGCAACGAGGTGGTGACGTCGTACGCGGTGCTGGAGCAGAAGCTGTCGGAGCTCGGGTGGGAGAGGTACTACGACGACCCGGAGATGCTGCAGTTCCACAAGAGGTCGTCGGTGGAGCTCATCAGCCTCCCCAAGGAGTTCCACAAGCTCAAGTCCATGCACATGTACGACATCGTCGTCAAGAATCGCACCATGTTCGAGGTCCGCGACGGCTGATCGTCGGGGGCATGGGAGAACGAATCGATTTCGGCTAGCTCCGGCCATCTGTCTTTCTTTCTTTCTGTTGGTGTGTTAGGGTTTGGGAATGAATCGTTCGGTGTTTCTGTATTAAGGTAATGATAAGGTTGATTTGTAGTGGTACGTAACTCTAATGTGACCGCCGGTTTGTTGTTAATTGTGTGTGTTTGGTCAATGTTGTGAATGAATAATCTAGTGATGATTTCTTTTTGATTTGTGTGCATCTTCTCTTTTTACTACTTTTATTTAATTAATGAATTTGAATAATTCGAAATTTTTTAAGTCAAACTTCGAGTTGATCCTCAAAAATACTTGTAAGTCCATCTGCAACCTTAGGGCCAAAGTTTCGACCGTTCAGGCGGCTGATCTCTCCTCCACCGCCACTGAAATGACAGAATTCAAGGAACAATCTCCCTTTGCTCCTGCTGCTCAACGATCTGCTACTACTGTTCCTTGCAGGAGGAAGAGTTCAGGTGAGAAATCGAATATGCCTACTCATCTCACCACCAGACTTGCAGTTACCAGCAAGAGGTCGCGTTCAACTCTGAAAACGGAAAGTTGTAGCTTCCTGTTGTTCCTGAAAACGATAAGATATTGTTTTTACCAGTTTTCAAAGTATGTTTTTTTGTATTTTCTACGAAAAATCTTTTTGTATTATCGATTAAGTGAAATATTTGAATCACATTACTCACAATTATTTTTTAATACTTTTACTTTAGTACTTTTAGTTTTCTCTTTTACCTACGTTTTCTCTTTATATTAGATATATTTTTTTATACATACACAAACCACTATAGAAGGTTGGACTCGACAATCGCTTTTCCAAATTTTAGAGGTGTCTTAGGATCCGCCATAGCATACCACCATAATATATTTTCATAACGTCCTGATATAATTTTCTATATCACATTAATATACATGGTTAAAAAATGCACGCTTAACCTCACGAATAGGCACGCCTAGGCGTAAGGCAATGGCAAAATGTCTCGCCTAGCCGTTTCACGCCTAATTAGATACTGGAACATGTCAATGAAGTAAGGCGACATATAAGTCTCTTCTAAACACTACTAGATGGAGATAGGAAGTCAATATTAATGGAGAAAATTACGTCAACTACGAATTTAATTTCTATATCAATATTTTCAATATAGCTCAAGAACTTTGTGAGTTATTGAGCTATGATTCTATGAATTCGTGAGCTATGTTCTAATCATTAAGCGTTGAGTAAGTTATTAATCATTTTAACTGAGGCGAGGAAGTGTTGTAGATTACTATTTCATTCATCATGTAGTGCGAATAGCTATTCTTCTTCCAACGCCTAGGCACGCTTAATCTACGCCTAGGCGAGCTAGGTGTTAGGCGAAGTCTCAACGCCCACATTACGCCTAGCGCCTTTTTGAACCTTGTTAATATATGTGATATTAGAAGTGACAAATAGATTGGAACCATTGATTGGTTGATTGGATGAGTGGATCCATGAATCAAATGGGTAGATGGATGTGATCATGGATCCAAGTGGCATCTAAACATATACCATTAGGAAAAAATTTAAAAGTGTAGGCAATAAACTGTCATAATAAAAAATTGTAGGTATCAAAATGTTAATTTCCAGGAATTAATCCACCAATCTTGTAATTGGATTTGATTCTAATTAATTGCAAATTGCATGCATTGTGATTGTGGTTTTATTGTATACAAAGGCTTGGACAAATTGATAAGAATTACCAAAAAGATACATGATCTGGGAAGTGGAGCAACTTTACAGGTATGATGGTGGGAGGCGCTCTCTTGGAGGAGGTTCTACAACTTTCGTTGTCTTTTGGTTAGGGGTGGATTTTCGATTATCGGTCGGTTAAACTGATAATCGGTCGGTTATCCACTAACTGAAAATTGAGATAATTAATCAAAATTTGGTGGAGTTCGGAGGCTGGCCGAGATGGTTTTGGTCTTGGAGGCGATTCGGTAAACCAAAAATCGAGATAACCAAAGCCTAAATCCCTATTTCGGTCGGTTGTCGGTAAATGGGACCGACAGTTTGGTTAATCGATAACGGACCGACCAGTTACTGGTTATAACCGAAACTAACCGACAACCAGCCCTACTTTTGGTCATTCTGATTTTACCTTTACTCCTCGTCGGTTTAATAGGACAGCTCATTTATTGACTAACAATCCACCCCTCCCCTCCGAAGGGGGATTTTAGTAAATAACCAAATATAATACTTGGACTAAGGGTCAAGTTTGTAATTTTTCTTACATCTCCCCCTCATCACGGCTATCAGGAGATATTTCAAGTTATCGTCAAGACTCAAACTGGCGACCACGAATGTCAAATTGGATCGACAAGGTTTAGAGGAAATCATCATCAACAACAACAAGTTTAGTTTAATGTCAATGTTGAGTTTAGACTTTGGTTTTTGTTATGTTTTATCCTTTTGTTCTTCAAAAGTAAGGTGGCACACCTTTGTCATGTAGTGCCACTCTTGGACTATTTAAACCAAGGAAAACATCTCTTGTTACATTAGTTGACAAAACACCTAAGGCCAACTCATTTACGCCATTTTGTGCTCATTCACACCATATTATGTTTTATCTTTCACGTAAATGGACTCGTTGGGCTTGACTCTTTGCTATGGCCCAAGAGGTTATCACGAAATGGACTTTGGCATTTCACAGATCGTCTACCACCTTTGACTAGCAAGGTCGTGTACCTGTTTAAAAGCAATCAAAAGATAGTAAAGACTACAGACTAAAGAGAAAGAAGTGGAACACGTACACAAGATTTTTTGTTAACCGAGTTAAGTCTATTGCTTACATCTCGGTTTAAAGGTGGCTCGCCCTTTGAGACCTGGTGTCTAGGTTCTTATCTTATTTTGATCTGACTCCAAGTTGAGTCCCTTTGAGTGAAACTCAAACCTTTGACAAAAATAAAGCAACGTATCTCTTTCTCTCTTCGCCACAAACATTCACGCTAATTAAATAGAGAAACTACACAACCTCACAAACACATCAAGATCGGACACATCAAGATCGTTGAATCGACGTGGTGATAATTTTGTCTCGATCCAAATGACATGATTCCCCGTAGGCAATCCTACGGTCACTCATGCCTATGAGCATTTTAACACAATTGTAGAGGCATAGTAAAAAGTAGGGCTAATACCACTGGGAAACCCGAACTATTAACTTTGTATCATTTGTGTCCTAAAGTATTCGATATGACAATTGTGTCCCCAACGTGTGGTAGTTTTGTGTCATTTGTATCCTGACAGCTTAATTGACCGTTAAAAGTAACGGTTGACCAGACAGACGGTCGTTAGGTCATCTTCTTAAGCTTGCGTGGCACACTCATGTTGGCCACATAGACGACACGTAGGCAAACACGTCATATTTGTAATTTTTTTTACCATTATGATTTAAAATAAAAAACCCTACCTTTTAACCCTCTCCATCTTCTTTGTAGCTCGTCCCCTATTTTTCAAACTTCTTCTTTGCGAGAGCTGGGTCGGCGCGAGGAGAGGGCAGAGGAGAGACGACGATAGCTCCGACGCGTCGGAGTGACGACGACGTTGGGTTTCAGTAACGCGGAGCGGCGCCGGTTCGTGGTGACTTTGGTATTCACTGCGGCGAGGATAGTGGTGCGACGGCCTGTTAAAAAAAAAAAAATTGTCGAGCAAACCAGGTGAGCATATATGTTGGGTCTGTTTTAGGGTTTGATCTACTTGGTTCTCATTCTCCATAATGAATGGGTTTCGCGGCAGCAATTCAAACATGTCAGGAAGGAGATTCGGCCATAACAATTGTGACTCCAATTCTTCCAACTCTCGAATCGTGAAGTGTGGCCATAATATACCAGCAAAGTCTTATGTTTCAGTGACAGAACTCAATCCGGGGAGGGGATTCTTCTGTTGCCCATATTGGAAGGTAATTTAAGCATTATTTGTTCAGTTGGGGGATTTTATTCGCAAAGAACAACTCACTTCATCTTGATTTATTTGTCAGGAGCCTAAAAAAAATTGTCTATTATGGCGTTGGGTCGATCAACATAATGATGAGGAGGAAACACCTAGCTCCAATGTGATTGTGGCAGATGACGAAGACATTAGGATGAAGTATGCTTCGATGGAGATTCATGTTACGAGCTTGAAGGAGAGCTTGAAACTTGCTGAAGAGAAAGCTGAGCGAAGGAAGCAGGTTAAAAAAATGTTTGTTTGATGATTTAGTTAGCATTAGGGAGGAAAACACTAGACTAGTAGGGGAAATGAAGTTGGCCAATGCTCGTTTCTTGTTTGTTTTGTTCCTTTTCGTAGGACTACTTGTAGGCATTGTCGTTGCAGGACTGAAATGAAGTCTGCAAATGCACATCTCATTTATAACTTATGGCTCGAGTTTATTTACAATGTTGTGAAACAATCATGTTGGTTGTATGTTATTGAATCTGACGTTCAGGAATTCCCTTAGCTTTATGATAAGATTCTGACAGTAAGTAAACAACGATAGCTTCATCTTACAAATATACCATTCAAACATCCTAAAATTGTTCGACATAGATGATCAATATCATAGTCTGAACCATTCACAACATAATTGTGTTGGTCAGAAACAAAGGTTGTCATTGTCTAGTTTTCCAAAATGAATCCAATGTTTGGGAATCTAACATGATTTCCTCAGGATATAAGGCAACCATATTTGCCCAAAATAAACATTGTCTACTACGTTAAACCTACATCTGATAATACCACCCATTTACAACCACTTTCCTACTACTGCTGGGTCGGTTGTGTCGCTGGTGGCTGTTATACTCCTTCAGCAATCAGCGTAGGCGTTGATCCGGTATCAAGGTTGTCGTAAGGCCTGCCACTTCTCAACACCCTTCTCGGTCTATCTGGACCATTTAGTATCACATAAGTGTTTCCTCATAATCTTGTTATACTCCTCTATCAACGACCCTCCTAACATCCGCTTGTCATATGTCCTCGC